ATCCAGACTCCAATCAAATATTCCCTCATCCTATCCTAATTTTCCACGTGTCATGTGCTACATGAATTAGTTTCTGAAAATAAAAATAAATAAATAAATAGTGTCCTGTGCATATTGATTTTTGACCCAACTGATTACTTACTACGTATGGGTCGTAATGATTTATTAAATTAGTGACACCTTGGACCTTCTTTCTGTCCTATATCCCCGACCCCAAAGATCTATTGCTCAATTGGTTTGGTGAAATGGGCCCCACCTGAATAGCCTATAACCAAGAATTTGGATTTAGTTCTCACAAGACTATATTCACACCGGCCGTTCTGTTCTTATGGCCACTTACAGCTGTGTATTAAGAATATATCGGGATGCAAGTGGGGGTATGAAGACTCTGAGCACGGTTGTGTGAGGAATGAATCCAATCTCTACAACCACTGAGCCAATGAATGGTGAAAAATCCTCAACTGTTCACCAAAAAAATCGCTTTTCATGCAACTTGTTTTAGGCTCCTTTCGCCTGGGCTGAAGTTCTGATTGAGCTGCCGAACCAAAATTTAAAGAAGCCAGTGATTTATATCAAGGACAGTATATTTGGGCTCCATAGATAATTTACCAAACATAGTCTATAGGCTGTCTACAATCTACATAGAGCCCACCTTGAAAAGTCAAAACCCTGCATGAAAACCCTCTCAAACAGGCAAGGGTTTACCACACACTGGCTTCTAGCATTGCAAGACGGGCCCAATAGAAAAACTTGAAGCCACGATACATTGCTGGCCACACACATCCAGCTATACATCCGGAATATCGGTGTTTTAAAATACAGTCAATGTTCCTGATGTGCGACAGGATGTGAGTGGCTAACAATGTATCGTGGTCAGATCTGAACTCGGGTGGGGGATCTAACTTGGAATTTTCATGTTTTTTCATCAAACATTGTTTAGCAGTCTAGGTGGAAATCATGGTTTTTAAAAACAAACCGGTCAGGGGCTCGGTTATCAGTTCAAACGGTCCAATCGTTCAACCTGAATGATTGGCCCGTTCTGACAAAAAAAATAAAAAAAATTGGAAAACAATCAAAACCGTTCGAACAGTTTGAACGGTTCGAACAATTAACCGCCCGGTTTGGCAGTTTGCTGACCAATCAATGGTTTTGAAGAAAAAAGTGGTTTTAGAGGAAAATGGAACCGATCAGATGACCGCTTCCCAATTTTTCCGATCCGGTCCAGTTTTGAAAACAGTGGTCTGGCTACCTTCGTGTGAAAGCCCTCCAAAACAAGCACCTAACCATTGAAATAATGCAATATAATGAATGATTTAGAACATCCCATAAAATTCAAACAAACCCTTAAATTTAGAGTATGTTTGGTTTGCGGACAGGATTGGAATCGGAATCAGAATTCCTATGAATAAGAATAAGAGTCACCTCTTCCTAATGCCTATCTGGTTCAGTTAGCAATAGGAATCAGATTTTGGTTATTGTTGTTTGGTTGTTTTGGAACTAGAATTGGAATCAATAGAAAATTTTGAATTTTATATTAGTCTATTTATTATTTTTTATTAGTTTGTTATTATTACTTTATTAATATTTAATAATTAACACCTTATTATTTACCATTAATTTATTATATTTTATTATTATTTTCTTATTAGTTTATTAATATTTTCTTATTTTTATTTATTATTATTTAATAATTAATATGTTAGTATTTTGCTATTACTTTAATTATATTATGTTATATTTTATTTGTACTCAATTCTTATTATTTAATAAATAAAATATTTTCTTTTTATTTTTTATTACTTTGTTATTATTATCTTATTAGTATTTAATAATTAATATCTAAGTATTTATCATTAATTTATGAATAATTTATTAATATATATTTAATATTTTTTTATTATTTTATTATTAGATTATTCATATTCTATGATTTATTATTATTATTTTAAAATTTATTTATTATTATTTAATAATTAATATGTCAGTACTTTATTATTACTTTAATTATATTATGTTAACATTTTCTTTGTAGTTGATTATTATTGTGATTGTTATTTAATAAATAGTATCTTTTGTTTTTAATATGAATATATTAATATTTTATTATACTAATATTATTTTATTAATATTTACTAATATTTTATGATTATTATAATTATTAATATATTATTGTTATTATTATTATTATTACTATTATTATTATTATTATCTTATTATTACTTTCATAATATTTTATTATTTAATTATTAATGTTTTTTTGTTATTTCATGAATTATTTATTAATGTTATATTATTATTATCTTATTATTAATTTAATAATATTTTATTATTTTATTAATATTAGACTCTGGATTAGGAATCCCATTTCTACGAAGGGCCTGAATTGGCCAGTCACCTATATGGGAGAATCCCCTTTCGCAATAATGGGAATCAGAATCCCATTCTTACCAAACAAACAATCAGAATTCCCATAAATGCCCCAAACAGTGCGCTAACACGTACCCTACCGTGACAATCCAACTTTGTATTGAAAATATCTCTCCATGACAAACATGAGAAATGTTCCCAATGCATTCTGAGTTGTGCATGTGGGACGCCAATCTAAACTCATATTCAGTCATGGATTAGATGCTTTAGTCGGTGCCTTAACTATTTTCAGCTTTTAAGGTTTAAAAGTCTAAAATCACTTCTCATAGGTAGCATTGTGGATTTATAGCAAAAGAGATATGGAATTTCTTCGGTTGGACCGGATATTTGCCGTCTGAACCGGGAATTGGGAGCCAAAATGATGTCGGCCTGTTCTCTTTGATTTTGGTCAAATATATTTAAACACCTATTTAACTTATAGGAAATAATGTGAAATAATTTTCTTTTTTTACTTTTTTTTGGCATTTGTTATTTGTGGAAATCAAATACTTGAACTGAATGATTGGATCCCTCACCCACTAGGGTCTTAGAATATTTGTAGGGTGTAAGGGGGATTAGGTCAACCCTAACCCAGTTGGGTTTGGATCGGATTGGTCCGACTACTCCATTTTTGTTAAATGATTTTATTTAGGTTGAGGTCATGTTACACATTAATATGAGGATACATGTCATACATATATGCACGTAAAGATAAAAGGTATATATCATAGATACTGATTTAATTTTTAATTTTTATAAGATAAGACACACAAAACCAACCAAGACAAGTATGATATTAGAGGAGTGGACACGAGTCAAGCTTCTCATGAGTTATTCGAATTCAATTTGGTTCAGTTTAAACAAGTATTGAATCAAGTTTAAGTCCAATACATAGGTTTATTTGCTAATTGAGCTGAACTCAAGCTCAGTGAAGCTTAACTCACAAATCTAATAGAGCTTAATAGAATAAATAAATAATTTTTATAATATACATACATACATACATATAAATAAAAATATATATAATAAATAATTTTTTGTATATAAAATAAAAAAATATTTTTATAAGTATAATTTTTTTTTAAAAAAAAAAGTTTGGCTTGTAGACGAACTCGAGCTAAACCGAGCTCAAACTTACGAGCTTTTGAACTGAGTCGAGCTCGAACTCAAGTCTCTAGCTCGAATTGAACTCAGGCTCGAGCTCGAGCCTAATACTATTTATGCAAGTTGAGCTTGAATAGACAAGTAATCAGCTCGGCTCAGTTCAAATCCACCCCTATGTATTATATAATAAAGAATGGATAGAAAGACATAATCATCATAGTTTAAGTTCAGATTGACTGAGGGCTCGGCACTAACTCGACACTAACCCAACTCAAAGATAAGTCGAATTTATACTTTTCAACCATAATTCTTGCTCAAACTTTAACCTGACCTGACCCAATCTAAGTTTTTTTGGTTGGAATTGGACTAATCCAGTCCAAGTTGTAGCCCTAAAATTTTAGTGCAGCCAAGTCATTTTAGTTGTCATTCCCAACGGATGGTCTAGCGGTGAAGTCTAACTTAAGTCTAACATTCCAAGGGTTTGTTCATGGGAATAGGGGTTTGGAATTGGATTAAAATGGTTTATTCTGATTCCAACTGTTTGATGGGTAGAATGGGATTCCCTCATTTAATGTCTTAGAATGAAAATCCTAGTTCTGATCCCAATTCAGATTCCAATTATATAAGATTTCAATTCTAATTCCAACTGCAAACCAAACAAACCCTTAAAAAAGAAACCCTAAATTACCATTTGATAAAGCTGAAGATTGTTATAAGTAAAAATAGAAATGCTCTTTTTATGAAACTGATGTATAAAAACAACAAATCTACTTTCTTATTTTGATTTTAGTCACTATGAGCCATCTAAGCATGGACCAACCTATTATCACTTTTGATAGGTGTGGTTCATAAATTAATACAAACGAGATCCACATATGAAAAAGCAATTTTATTTTTTCTGATAAAATGAAAAAGCAAATTTTTCAAAGCCTAACTCTCTCATCAATTTCTTTGACACTTTCATGTATGACAAAATGTATATGCATGCTTGACTTGATGAACTGCCGCTTTGCAATACCTCGAAATGGACATATAGAACCGAGTATCAATCTTAATTTTCTCTTAATCTTGTTTTGGCCCATTAATTAACATTAGTAATTAGAAAAAAAAAACTAATCAAATACTGCCTGCAATCTCATATGGTGGACCCCACCTTACCTACTCACCTGTCACCCAACGACAGATGACTTAATCAACTAATCACGATTAAGTTAGTTAAGGCAGTGGTCATTTCCGTAAATCCACTGTAATCCTTTCCCACCGCAGTGCCAAAGTAGTCATCCACCAACTCCGCCCACCAACAAAAGCCAATAAACAATTCTCCAACTGTTATCACCTTTCGAGGGGTGGTTTTGTCTTTACAACGTCACCTAACCACCACGCAATTACCAAAACACCCTTTCTAATCAAATCGAGAAGAGGTGAAAACTGATAAGCCGCAGAGCCTCACAGAGTCACAGATCTACCACGGCTTGATTTCCTTCTGCCTATAAATAACCCAAACTTCTCTTCCGTTTCTCGCGCTGTTCTTTCCTCCTCCTCCTCCTCCTGCCTTGCTTTAGAACCAGTCTTCAGAGCTCTCCGGTTCTACCTCCGCAAAGGTACGTCCACTTCGTCGCTCCTCTTGCATTTCTTATCAATTCTTTCCTTAATCCTTCCTTCTCATTCGGAATATCTCTTTCTGCTTGCTTGCTTTCTTCATTCTCTGTTTTGCCGCTTTCGCTGTTGGTTGTAACTCTGCTACTAGGACTGATGAGGTTCGAGTTTTGCTTCAGTAGATTCTTTAACAGATCTGATCAAGAGCTTGCTTGAGTGTTTTACTCCCACCTTTTCGATCTTCAAGAAGGATTTTGATTTGTCGGTGTGAAAGACGAATTGCTTTCTTTGATGTTTTAAGCTTCTTTAGATGATTTCATTCGGTTTTCTGGGACTATCGAATCTAAGAACTGGACTGTTAGGTTCATTTACGTGGTTTTATGTAGATTTCTTTCGTGCTCTGTTTCTGGTTGTCATTTGTGTTTCTGTACTCTTTTTGGATGTGCTTTATCGTGGTTTTCAGTTTGAGATCTGACGATTCTGAGCAACGGAGTTTGTAGATCTAGTAGTGTAATCTGCAGATCTTATCTCCAAGTTGCTTTAGTGTTGTTTTAGTCGAACTTTTTTTTTCCCGGCATTGGACGCTCTTACTGTTTCGTTACTTCCTAAACGAGATCTGTATTCCGTTACAGTATTAAATATGAGCTAGTAATGGTTAAATAAATCCTCTCTCAGATCTTCCAATTTTGTTTTGTTTATCCTTACCTTTGTCGGTCGCTCATAAATGTCATAATTCATTTGGCTCGCAGATCTACTATTTTCCATTTGCTCTGTAGATCTGAAGCCTGTCTTACTCGTTCTTCATTTCTTATCCTATATATAATCGTCACGTTTTTATACCGACATCAGTCTGACAGTCTACGTAGAATTTCTAATTCATTATAAATTAACTTTCTTATTACTCATTTATTGAACTTGACTTCATTATGATTTATAATAAATTTAAATTTCTAATTACCTTACTTGTAAATCTTCTTTTTAAGATTTAGAAATGATTACTTTCTCTGACAACTGCTGAAATTCGAAGCTTTGGTGTGTTTCTGCAAACCGAAGCGACAAGGATTTATTTCTATGATAAATCATTTAGGACCCCTGTTTTAGAAATGATTACTTCCGTATGTAGGTTTTCTCCTTAGTTAGGAGGATTCTGATTTTATTTTACTTTTATTGTACCTAATAACCAGTAAAATGGCGTCCCACATTGTTGGATATCCCCGCATGGGTCCGAAGAGAGAGCTCAAGTTCGCTTTGGAATCCTTCTGGGATGGGAAGAGCAGCGCCGAGGATCTGCAAAAGGTGGCTGCTGATCTGAGATCATCCATCTGGAAACAGATGGATAGTGTTGGTATCAAGTATATCCCCAGCAACACCTTCTCTTACTATGATCAAGTACTCGACACCACGGCAATGCTTGGGGCTGTTCCTGAGAGATACAACTGGGCTGGCGGTGAGATTGGCTTCGGCACCTACTTCTCCATGGCCAGGGGGAATGCTTCTGTACCTGCTATGGAAATGACCAAGTGGTTTGACACCAACTAGTAAGTGATGGCTCCTCTGCACACGGTCTATACTCTAAAGAATATTTATAATGAACTGACAGCATTGAATGTAGCTAATATGTGTTTCTTATTCGTGCAGCCATTTCATTGTCCCCGAATTGGGACCTAACACAAAATTCTCTTACGCTTCTCACAAGGCAGTGAATGAATACAAAGAGGCTAAAGAGGTCTGCTTTATGTGGATATTTGCTATTCTACTTGGTTGTGCTCTATTGGAGTATCATTGGATCTCTTAGACTCTTACTCATCTACATCTTATTTAGTTTTGGACCTCTATTTGGCAATTAGAACAGGAATTGTTGCGACTTGGGTAGTGTGCAAAGATGCGTCCTACATTAGTTACCTTCATTCAGTAGAATATTAGCATAGCTAACTTTCTAGATGGGTGCATATATTATATGTTATTGGTAATCATAATGAAGGTCGTGTTTATGGATGGGTAGCAGACCACCTACTTAACAAGTCTCGGAAAATGTTCATTCAGATTACAAGAACTGAAACTTTCATGAAACCTTTTCTGAACATCCGACTTGATTTATTTATTTATTTTTGGGGGGTGGGATATGGCCCCATCACTGCATGGGATGTACATAAATCAATATAATCCCAGCTGAATGGTGATAATTGTCTGTTTTTCTAGGACTCTTTTCTTATAAATTATAATTCTTTTTGCTCTGTGAGAAAGTGCTTCCTAAATCACTTGTCTTTTTTGTTGATCTTGTCTTTTCAGCTTGGAATCGATACAGTTCCAGTCATTGTCGGTCCTGTCTCCTACCTGTTGCTATCTAAACCGGCAAAGGGTGTTGAGAAGTCTTTCCCTCTTCTCTCTCTTCTTGAAAAGATTCTTCCTGTCTACAAGTAAGGACTTGAAACTTTTCTGTGGATAGCATTGGTTGATTCTTTATCTTATTGCAGGTTCTTTCAAATTGATTATTCTAATGGTTAAACCTTGTACAGGGAAGTGGCGGCTGAACTTAAGGCAGCTGGTGCTTCCTGGATTCAATTCGATGAGCCAACCCTTGTCTTGGATCTTGAGCATCACCAATTGGAGGCATTTACTAAAGCCTATGCAGAGCTAGAATCATCTCTCTCTGGCCTGAATGTTCTCATTGAGACATACTTTGCTGATATTCCTGCTGCAGCATACAAGACTCTCACTTCTTTGAAGGGTGTTACTGGGTTTGGGTTTGACTTTGTTCGTGGACCTCAGACTCTTGATCTTATCAAGGGTGAATTTCCTTCAGGCAAATATCTCTTTGCTGGAGTGGTTGATGGAAGGAACATTTGGGCTAATGATCTTGCTTCTTCTCTCAGTACCTTGGAGGCTCTTGAGGGCATTGTGGGTAAAGGTATTCATTCTTTCATGAAGCTATTTTTCCCCTGTATGAAATTTTCAGAGCATGTTGCTAATTTGGGTTATTTATTGTTTACATCTGCAGAAAAACTTGTTGTCTCTACTTCCTGCTCACTTCTCCACACTGCTGTTGACCTTGTAAACGAAACTAAGTTGGACAAGGAAATCAAATCATGGCTGGCATTCGCTGCACAGAAAGTTGTTGAAGTGAATGCTTTGGCCAAGGCATTGGCTGGTCAGAAGGATGAGGTATCCCCTTGAAACCCAGTGTGAAATCTCCTAACCCTGTTATGGTAGTTTTTTCCTGGCAAGCATTTCATAATCATCACCACCACCACCATCATCATCATCACTGTCACCATCATCTAAAGCCTTGTCTTAACCCAGTGTGAAATCAAAACATGAATCCTGTTTCACCATTCTGTTCTATTCGGTGCCATATCTATGTTAAATTATTAGCCCATAGATAATTTCTTACTACCTCAATTCATTTCTGCCTCTTACTCTTCTAGCCCCTTCAACTTGTAACAGATCATTTCATATGGGTGCTGTAGATCGTCTTTTCTGCATGTGACCAACCATCTGAATCTCCTTACCCTCATTTTGTGACCTACTGGAGCTACTCTGTCTCTTCAAATGAGTTATAGCCATATATAGTTTAATACCTAATATGGAATGGGCAGTGTAATGTTTTTGGAGTGTATCAAAGAAAAATTGGGTCTTCTTGGTTGATCAAACTTGATAAATGACTGAAGAAAATATTATCAGCGTTCTTTATGTTTTGACGTACAGGTTAACCTTGGTTTCTCACTTTTTTGTCACTTTATGTTCAGTCAATCTTCTCCGAGAATGCTGCTGCTCAGGCTTCAAGAAAATCTTCTCCAAGGGTGACCAATGAGGCTGTGCAGAAAGCTGTAAGTCCTTTTGTCAAATTTATTTTTCATCACTCTGGTTTTTTAATTGTCTTCAGAAAATTCTTTTACTTACCAAATTATGTTTCTGTCTTCGCTTGCTTAGGCTGCTGCTTTGAAGGGTTCTGACCACCGCCGAGCCACAAATGTTAGTGCTAGATTGGATGCTCAGCAGAAGAAGCTTAACCTTCCAGTTCTCCCAACAACTACCATTGGGTCCTTCCCCCAGACATTGGAGCTGAGAAGAGTCCGCCGTGAATACAAGGCTAACAAGTAAGCAGATTCTTAAGATTTCTTGTCTGTCATGATATTGAAATGGCTTTTGATTTTTGTGAATGATCTACTAATTTTTCTTATTAATTCTCCTTCAGGATCTCAGAGGATGATTACATTAAGGCCATCAAGGAGGAAATCAGCAAAGTTGTCAAGCTCCAAGAAGAGCTTGACATTGATGTCCTGGTCCATGGAGAGCCAGAGGTGAGCTTTCTTAAAACCACTGAGCCCAGCTGACTTCAATAATCCAACTTCTGAATTATTATCATACTAAATATGACCTGGTTTAAAACTTTAGAAACTTAGAATTTATGGCATGGTTATATGATTATTGTTTATAAACATCTGAATGCACAGAGGAACGACATGGTCGAGTATTTCGGTGAGCAGTTGTCTGGTTTTGCCTTTACTGTTAATGGGTGGGTGCAATCTTATGGGTCACGGTGCGTCAAGCCACCTATCATCTATGGTGATGTGAGCCGCCCCAAGGCCATGACTGTGTTCTGGTCCTCATTGGCTCAGAGCATGACTGCCCGCCCCATGAAGGGAATGCTTACAGGTCCTGTTACCATTCTCAACTGGTCCTTTGTCAGAAACGATCAGCCCAGGTAAGGAGAAGAACTGACTTCACTGATTGATCTACCTTGTTTCTCTATATATTGTCTGATGAGATAAATGTTTTTTTATCAGATTCGAGACTTGCTACCAAATTGCTTTGGCCATCAAGGACGAAGTTGAGGATCTTGAGAAGGCCGGCATTAATGTCATCCAAATTGATGAGGCTGCTTTGAGAGAAGGTCTGCCTCTCAGGAAGTCTGAACAATCTTTCTACTTGGAATGGGCTGTGCACTCCTTCAGAATCACTAACTGCGGTGTCCAGGACACAACCCAGGTTCCCCCTTGACTTGAGCTTGATTCTGGTGTTCTATTTATTTCTCTAGGCAGTTAAAGCTTAATATAGTTCCAATTCCATGTTTTGACAGATTCACACCCACATGTGCTACTCCAACTTCAATGACATCATCCACTCTATCATTGACATGGATGCCGATGTGATCACCATCGAGAACTCGCGATCCGACGAGAAGCTCCTCTCAGTCTTCCGCGAGGGTGTTAAGTATGGTGCTGGCATTGGCCCTGGTGTCTATGACATCCACTCACCTAGGATCCCATCCACAGAAGAGATTGCAGACCGCATCAACAAGATGCTTGCTGTGCTTGAGACCAACATCCTCTGGGTCAACCCAGACTGTGGGCTCAAGACCCGCAAGTACTCTGAAGTCAAGCCTGCCCTGAGCAACATGGTTGCTGCTGCCAAGCTCCTCCGAACTGAGTTGGCTAGTGCCAAGTGAAAGGAAGGTTATCTGTGTGGGTGGGCATATGGCCAGTCAAAGGATTCATATTAAAGAGGGAAATTCTCTATTACTGTTCTAATAATCGTGAGCTTTGTGATGATGAGTATGACCTGGGAATGCTGTTTGTTTCTTTTCTGTATTAGGCTTTTTCTCTTTGGGTTCTGAGGTGTTATTTTTTTTTTTCCTTTTCTCTACTCAATTGATGGGCAATTACTTGTCAAAAAAAAAAAAAAAAAGAAACAATTGAAAGGCCATTGGTCCCCCGTTCTGTATCGTAGTTACTTTCATGAATGGAAATTTAAACCTATAGTTCTTCAGTTCTAATAGTCTGACATTCCAATTCGGATCCATGTATTTCAGTTGCCAAATGGGATAACCTTGCCTTGCGATAGATTTCTGTTTGAAGTAGAATCAATGGTGAATGCATGAACACAGTTAGGCGAGGCAATTTCTCATCCCTGTGACCCATACAAAAATCCATTCGTTTGCTTGGTGGGTTGGAAAAAATGTTGAATCACACTCATATTCGGTATAAACTATTGTGAACTCATACTTGACCATGCTCGTCCATTACTTTTACATTACTCAAATCTGAATCATCTTGGAAAAACCGCAAAAGCTGTGCATTAAAGACTACTTGAAAATAAAAATAATTGAGGAAGGTTTTCGACTACATCCAAACTACTTGTCATCTTTGACACCCAAAATATTCTCATGCATTAGGGGATCCTTTGGTGAGTGAGAATATCCTTCCAATGCTAGGAAAACTGTGTGAATCAATTCTGGCTCTTGAAAATCCTAGGACAATTATGGAAAGCAAAAGTAAAATCAATGTAATACTTTCTACAAGATGATTCAAGGCCGACGTGGGCCCAGACCAGTTTGGAAACAAATAGTAGTTTAAAATTTTGTTAATAAAAATAGTATAAATAGTTAAAAATCACCTAAAAATAATGAGAGATAATTCTAAGACATTGGTCCCACCCCTTCCATCGTTAACCTATTTTAGCATATTTCTATAGGTCTTTTCCATTATTAGACCATTGTATTCCAGAGAGAGAGATCCAAATTCCATTTATTTGTTTCATATTTAGAAATGGCAATGGATCAGGTTGTGGAACCTGAGTCCTCAAAATTTTTAAATTAACATTTTTTTAAAATAGATTTACTTAAAACAAGGGAAATTTTTAAAATGTAAAATATTTTAAATATTGTTTGATATATCTATACTACTATAGAAAGTACGAATAGGGTCTAAGATTTCTGGATTTTTTTGGACTAAAATACCCCTTTTCTGAAATAGGGTCCCTATCTATTATGGGGGTAGAAATGTAATTTGAATACTATTATAGTATTATTAATTGCATTCAATTTTCTCTCATTAAATTCTATTTAAGGTATTAATTCTCATTCACTCTCATTTAACCATACATCTAAGGCATTTTTGTTTCTTTTAATTACTAAGTTCCACCAATTAAACTCATACGTAAATAATTCTAATAATATAAAAACTTGTACTTTTGAAATTGATTTAGAAAAGCAGTATTTTTATGTGGTGGTATGAAATTAAACAATGCAAACCCATGTTGCATTGTTGCACAATTAAATAATAAAAATTAAAACCTGATAAAATGCAAACAATATAGAAGTTAAAGACAATTTTGGGAACATCTTTAATATCATATATTCATCATATTAGACAAGAATAAGTATGATAAATAAGAAATACTTTAATTAATGATGGAAGTGGAATATAAAATTTAAAACCAAATGGAAATAAAATTATTTTCCTATTCTCTCTCACTAAGTCTCATATCTAAGGTATATATTTGAGATACATTTTTCTCATAATTAAATTCTATTAATTAAATCCACAACATTGATTTTAATAATATAAAAATAAATATTTTGAAAAATAATTTGAGAAAAAAATATTTTCTTCCCTTCCAGTGGTGGGTAAGCAATTCAACCATTTGGGCCAAATGGGTTAACCAATAATGCCATAATCAAATAATAAAAAATCAAAATAAATAATATATAAAAATACAAAAAAAATATATTGTGCATATCTCTAATATTATATATTCATTATAATGAATAAAATTAAGTATGGAATGTAAGAAATATTTTTATTAACGATGAATAATAAATATTAAAAAAAAAAGATAAAACACAAAAAATGATAAGTATACAATTTTGGGACATTTCTAATGTTATATATTCCCCATATTATATAAAAAAAATTGTTAAAATAAAAATTATTTTTATTTATAATATAAATGGAATACAAAATTAAATAATAATAATAATGATAATGGTGATGATAATTGTCATATATATATATATATATATGACACACTTTCTCCCTCTCACCTCCTAGTCCCTTATTATCTCCTAATGCAATTAATGTGTCAACATAGGCTTTTCAGTTTTAAATGTTGATTTTAATGGAACAATAAAGAACAAAAATTATAAATTAGGATATGAATCTAATATGGGCATTATGGGGTTTATTTCTCAAAAATTTAATGTTGCGGGCCAAACATTCGACTTGGATGGTTGAACTACTAACCTAGAAACCAATGGTCAAAGCAGTTCCGTTTCTAAGTCGGTTCTTATTTCGTATTTAAATTCTATTTAATTAGTTAATTGTCAGAAAATTATAATTTGAAACTTAATAACTAAAATTAATATAAATATTAAAATTTAGCAAGTTTTTATCTAGCAACTATTAAAACTTCATAAATTAATAAAAATTCATAGTTCCTAAATTAAAAATTAAAATACATTGGAATTTTGTTTAAAAATTTAAATTAATAGGATAATTAAAATTTATAATAAAAAGTAAAATAAATCATTTACATTCCATATAAAAATTAATTAAAATAAAACTAATAATGTCCTAATTAGAAATGTCATAAGACTCCTACTTAGAGATGACCATTTGTAACTCAGCCCAACTCGGCTAGACCTATTAGGATGATAGTTTTCCCCATCTCTATTAGATATCCGACTTTCCCAACCCGATGGCGTCAAGGATGAAGATTGTCTTGGTAGGGATGGGGATGGGGACAAGGATTGATAGTGATACCTAATTGGGGACAAGGACGGGGATGGGAGTGAATCTATAATTAAAAATTCCTTATTTTAAGTAAATCTATAATTAAAAATTTTAGGGATTTGAGTCCCCGATGAGCAATCCGTCCCTATCAGGGATTGGGGATGGAGAGGAATTCATCCCTATCAGGGATTAGGAATGGAGGGTCATTCTTATCCCCAGTGGGGATTGAGGTTGAGGACAAGGATTTATTTCAAAGGGTCAAGGTTGGGAACAAAGATTATGGTCCTTGGAACCACCCCATTGCCATTCCTATAGACCTACAATTTCTAGGCTCTAGCAAGTACTTTTTCTTTTTTCTTTTTGAGCTAGGTCTATCTTAGATGTGCACAAAGTCCACACATAATACGGGTAGTGGGGTTGTAAATGGATCAGATTCATATTGGACCTAACTTCGTCTACATCCGAATTCAATTATGAAATCTCTAGATCCATATCTACATCTAATTATTTTGTCAGATTTTGGATCAGATTTAGATTTAATCTGTAACCATCTTATTGTGTTCAAAGTATATATGTATAATAATTTTTTATAAATACAAAATATTAAATTTATCAATTATAAACTTTATATAAGTATACGCAATATCTATATGTATAGATAATTATACTACACGTATACATAAAACATTTTTTTATTAGACTCAGATTTTAGTTGGATTGGATGGGGTTAAATTGACATATGATCTGATTATTAATGAATGTAAATTATAACATCCAAATCCAGGATAATCAGATTGGGAGTTAAATCAGGTATTGAACTTTCAAAGTCCATTGACAGCCCAAGTGGGTAGGGCCCAAACTAAGCAACCTCTAATCTTGACTAAAGTTATATAGATATATATTTAGATAACAAATTTTATATTAATATATAGATAAAAATCTCAATATGTTTTTTAATAGATTAAAATTAAATTAAAATTTTAATTTGTAAAAAAAAACTATAGTTTTATAATTAACACAGGCAGGCATGTCCCTATCGTAGGCCTAGACAAATTTTATTACACTTGGGGTGTGGGATGGGCTAGGCTAAGCAATCTTAAAATGTTAATACGATATCAAAATTTGGCTCGAGATCTTTTATTTATTTATTTTTTATCATTAGGCTTCACAATGGGGGTAGCCCATACCCCATAGCTCCTTTGGCTCGGTCTAATTACAAATGTGGCATTCCTCTCAAGGGTGCAACTTGGGGGTTGGATCAGGTTGATTAGGATCAACTAATGCCAAACTTGAAGTCTTAAATCTCGAGCTTGGGTTTAAATTAATTTAATTATGACTATAACCTAATTTTATATATTTATGAATATTTAAGTAATATTTACAAAAATTTATGACATTTAATCATCAACAAAGTAAAATAAATTAAACAGAACACTAATAGATGATATGGAAAAGTATTTATTTTATTCAATAATTTGCAATAATTTATTATTTTTCTCAAAAATTAGTATATAATTAATCCAAATGACCAAATTACTAAATTACTAAATTATTTTTATAAAAGTCACTAAAATAAAGATTAGTTATTTTAAATAACATTGCATTCCTTATAATAGTTACCGTGTTCTATCATTCCACTTTCTCTTGACAAATCCTATGTATCGCACGAGTCTCGCTAGTGTGTAATAAAACGGGACATGCCATGTCAACATGCATGCCTCACCTTTCAACAAAGTTATTTATCTATTTTCTACTTTCTGCATTTTCTTATTTTCTTTTGTTTTAAAAATATAAAAATAATCATTGTTAATTTTGCTTGGACAAAACTAGATCATGTCATCAATAAAGTTGTACAATATTATCAAGGTTAAGTAAGCACAAAATTAAGAGAGAGAGAGAGAGAGAGAAAGATTTGGATTTTCCAAGGCATCTCATCTCAATGTATGTTATTATGCATTTAAGAAAGACATTTAAGAGAGAGATAGAGAGACTTTTGAGTTTTTCAAGGCATCTAATCTCAATGCATGCTATCATACATCTATGAAAGATATTTAAGAGAGAGAGAGAGAGAGAGAGATGAAGGAGGGAATAGTAATACAACATAATATAATAAAATACTCATAAATCAAATAGCCTAAATAGGTCAAGGATAAACAATAAAACATAAAACAACATAAATAAAAGTATTATTCTAAAAAAAACAGTACTTTAAAATCCACTAAACTTCTACTTAAAATAATAAGTATAATAAAACTTAGTAAAA